TTTTTTTTTTTTTTTTGAGTGCTGGAGAGATGTCGGGCCGTTGCCGATCCACCTTCCCTGCGTTGTGTCCACAGCCGACTTGGCATTGGACTTTGATATGCACCATGTCACGCGCACCGCTTCGCCAGCGACAGCAGGTAACGTTCGGTTACGACGTGCTGCGGCGGCCGCCATGTCTTTTTGCCCGCTTTCTTTCTCCCTCACCTCACTTCCTCGGGGAGGCAGCAGGCTGGGGGGCACGGGGGGCCAGTAGGGAGCCCTGGTCAAGACGGCTGGGATCAACAGCGGGGCCGGAGGGGGGGCTACTGCAGCAGCATGCCATCGTCACCGCCAGCGTGCTTGGTCCCCCGTCCGACAGTTGGTTAGCTGTCCTTGCAGCGGGAGGAGGAGGAGGGGGGGCCGAGGACATGCAGGCGGATATGTGGCCTATCTATCCGCTGGTGAAGGAGGGATGCGGTGTCTGTGAGGAGGTACCGAGGCAGGAAGGAAAGATTGAACGAAATTGAATTGGACCGATTGGTCGCGGGCAGGGGCAGGGCAACGCAAAGGTAAATCGGAGGGTGCTCCGAGCAGGATGAATAGAGCATCCTTGGACCAACGCGAGCCGATCATTTCCATGCCTGTGACGGAACCCCACACGGATCAGACAGAAGAAGCATTGGAAGATGAGGAGAAGAGCGGAAAAGAAGGCAGTCTTGGCGATAGTCCCACAAGGGCCGTGGTGGGGAAGACAGACAAGACCGTCTGCCCGTGCTGCAAGTTTCGTTCCACCTTTGCATCCATGTTAGCCCACGGAACCTGCTGCAACCTCAGCAGGGAACCTCAGCAGGGACTGATCAGCCCGCCAGACAGACTTCTTTCTCTCCTTCTCTCTCTTTTTTTCTCCTTTTGCATTTCTGTTCTTCATTCTTGCCTCTGCTAGTTGCTGTTTGCTTTTCCGTCTCGTGTTTTGGTTTTATTTCCTGGCTGCTTTTCGATTGCCGTCTTCCAAGCATGCTAGCTCCCTTCCGAGCCAGCCGGACAGGAGAGGTACCCCTTTGGCAGCCCACACACGGACTTTGTAGCCGATCAGTCTAGACCGCAATTGAGGCAAGCTCCGTCCTGCCTTTTTTTGCCTGTTGCGCTGCACCAAGCACATCGAACACCACCACCACTACCACCATCACTCTCTACTACGTGATCTCCTCGGATTCCCGAGACCCAGTTGAGACACCAAACCTCGCAGTCGCGCGTAAACGCAAAACCGTTGGGCAGCCGTCGAAGCTGCTCCCCTCGTCCGAATCGCCAGGCCCTTCGGGTTCGAACCGCGCCTTAGCCTCTGGCTGATGTTTTAGGCCTCCACTCTGGCTGCTTGCGCGTGGCCTTGCGGCTGTACACCTCGTGGCACCCGCTACCAGGCAAGCGCGGCGTGCAGCCATTTCCCCTCAACCCCCATCCTGCCTCCGGGGTGCGCGTGCTGGGTGGAGGCAACCTAGCGCTGCCGCCATCACCGTCTCCCAAGATTCCTTCCACAAGCGTCGCTAGACTAGAGGATCCGGATGAGCTGGTCATGGACGCGCTCAAGAATCTCTCGGCCAACATCCCCGACTGGGTGAGGCGCCTCGAGGAGCTCAGCGGCCAGATCGAGCAGCGCCAGATCGAGCTGGCCAAGTTCGCCGAGGCCAACTCTCCGTCGCCGGCCGGCGACTCGCGCTCCATGCACTCGATAAAGTCTTTGAGGAACAAGGGATCGACCGAATCCCTGAGACCGACCGACGAGCCCGCAGACGGGGACCCGATACCGGAAAGTGAAGACGCGGGAATAACTCCGACTCCGAGCCCCGGCCCGGCCGCCTCTGATGTCACCCCAACGCCAACAACAGTAGCAGCAAGAGCACAAACGCAAGCCACGCCGTCACCACCTGTCGTTGCAGAGCCGCCTACGACGACTACGACCACGACCACGACCATGACTACGACCGCGACCGCAACCTCGACCCCTGCCCTATTATCTCCACAGCCACTCTCCAATGGCATATCGCAGCAGAAGCAAGCAAGCGATACAGAACTCATGGAAGCTACTAGGGCGCGGGCGCGGGCCCTCGTGCGCAAGCGGATACGGTCCGACTCGGTCGTCTCGGGCGACGGCGCGGCGGTGGCGTACCGGAGCAAGAACATGGTGCTGGTGTACTACGACAGCTACGTCCAGGGCTTCTTCGAGGAGCTCGTCAAGTTCGTCTCGGGCTCGCGCAACCTGATGCGCAAGGCCAAGATGGCGGCAAAGGTCGCCCACATCAAGCGCATGGCCGAGCTGGAGATGAGCGGGTACAGCGACGACGAAGGCGGCGGCAGCGACGAGCTCAAGGTCGACGACGACGGGCCGATGCTCGCCGCCGACCCGGCGGCGCAGAAGAGGGAAGGCGACGGCGACGACGGGGGCGAGGACGAGGAGCTGCCGCCGCTCAAGTACGTCAGCACGCGGCAGATGCACGTCCGGTCGCGGCTGGGCCCCGGCGGCGCCGCCATGCTCAGGCCGTCGTTCGCCCGGGCTCCCGCGCGAG